CAGTGCTACTTGAATAATAACCTTCTTTCATAGCAGATATTATTTCGTAACAAGAAACAATAACGAATAAATAGCTGACATATTTACATAAATGGAAAAAATATTGATTAACTTACAGATGCTTAAAAAAAATTAAAAATTGACGTTACAAACTACACTAGTGACTGGATTAAACGGAATAATTTGAAGACTTCGTGAACATCTTCAATAGGAAGTATAGGCGACTATTCCTATCGGAAAATCACATGAAAGGTAAAATTGAGCAGAAGCTATAGGAATAATACATCTGTGTTCAAAAAAATATATATGCAGTAACTCTCTTCCTATCTACGTTTCTTATGAGCACTTGTTCTTATCAGATTAACTGATTAACAGTATAATTAAAATTTAAGCAAAGAGTTCTTTGTATCAACAATTATTTGAAATCGCTATTTCGTCTTATGAAGTATTATCAAAAAATTTTCAGGAATTTTAATACAGAGAACCACATTTTGAAAGAATACTTGAGAAGTTCTGCACAGAATATATTTCTCAGGATATTTTTTTAAAGATTTTTTTTTTTTGATATCTCAGCAGCTAAATAAATGTCCAACTCGACAGAAAAGAATTATTTTTAAAACCCTACCGTTGTAATTTATTGTGAGTGTGACATGATAGGGAAAATTTTTAGAGCAACTTGTATAGAAAAACAAGTAAACCCTAAGGAAATCCGAAGATCTTTTTAAGAAAATGTTGAAAGTTCCTGCATAGAATATATTTCTCAACTGGGGATTAGAAAAAATTTGCAGAGAACGGAAATATATAAAAAAATAGAGGATGAAATTTAAAAAAAATTTTTGTTTTGCAGAGAATTTGCAGAGAACACAAATATATGGAAAAATGAAGAATGAAATTTAAAAACAATTTTTACATATGGACAGCAGCAACGAATCATTTTATCATCGATTTACATTGTTAAATAATCAAATTAAGCAACAAAGATATGAAAGTTTTTCGTATGCATGTGCGAAAATTTTAGTTTTTTTTTTTCTACGCTTAAAGCAAATTATTCGTCACGAAAAGAATTTTAACAGAAAAAAATCTTTAAAAAAAAATTTCTTTACGATGAAATTCAGAAACAGATTTAATGAAACCTTCAAATACCACTGATCCGTAGAACATGGTGTATTAAAGCAATAATGTTTCTTAAATAAGAGACTGAATGTTAGTTGAAATTTCAATCACAGAACATCTGTCAGATTTGTGAAGCGTAGCAGAGTGAAATTTTATCCTGCTCCTTAAGAAAAAAATTTTTATATCATCCATTCAAACCGAATCAATAGAAACTTTTTACCCGGACTATTTCCTACATTTTCCAAACAATGAAGCAAAATTTAAGAACAAATACATGTCGAAATGACTTTGTGTTATTTTGCAGAACTTTAGTTTTTTATATAGTAAGCAGTGCAAAAATTCCAGTTCTTTCTTGGACTAATTTTCAAGTGTCAGTAATTATAATAACATATAACATGTTTACAGATGAGCTATTTAAATATGTTGATTTCTACTGCTCATTAAATTTTGGGATATCTTTACTAGGAAAGTGTTTGATGATTCTATTTCGTGAAAAGGCATGAAATCATTTTAAGAAGATATCTCTTGTACAATAGTATAAAGAGTATTTACAGAAACAATATCTGACAAGAACAAATTTCCATAAAAAATTTACCAGTATACTTACATTCTATCGCTGCCAACAAGGTCAAACCAGCCCGAATCATCTGCAGCTGAATCATAAGGTCCGTAGCGAACCTGCTTCGAATATGCCATGAATAACAATCGCTTTTCGTATGGTACCACAAGCTCACAACTGTGTTTTCTTTCTAAAAAAAAGAAAATTGACACTAAATTGCCCAATGCTGCGGTACAACAATATTCGTATAATACCACCTATGAATTAGAAGAGATTCTGGAAGTCGTCTCATGCAATAGCTTTCCACTAATCATTATGGCACACAATAATAAAATCTTATTGATATTACCACAGGTATTACTATCAATGGCAATTAATGATATTTTAAATGTTGTTAAAATAGTACTGGATACCTCGATAAAAAGATATGGCCAGTTTGTACACATCCTCCAATGATGCTCCAAATTTGTTCATAATTAAGTCAATTTCTGCAATAGCCGTGTCACGGCCTCGTTCAGGTGCCTGCTTTTCCATAATAATTAATCTAAAAAAATATATAATAAGACGAGAGGATTGAAAAGACGTATTAAGCATTGGACGAAAAATGGAAGGAAGCATTTGCCGAGTTAAGAATAGAGTTCTGCTTTCGAACACAATAAATTTCAGTTATCCAAGAAATATGAACCAATTATTTATTTCCTTTTGCAATGTAACGTACGCAAATTGTCAGTCTAATTTGCTCTAAAATTGAAGGCAATTTTAGAGTAAATTAAATTCACATTTTATTATGAGTAATTTATTTGCCACTCTATTATCGGTTAAGACACAACTAAAGCTCAGTTTTAATCGGGTAAAAAATGTAAATAACATACTTAATTCAATAGCTAACGATTAATAATTATTCGAACCATTAATTTTTTCTAAACAAGCAAAAATTATTCAAATGGGAAAGATCAATCGTCAAAATTTTCCTTTTCAAAAAATAATTTATGTAAAGAACGGACGGGTAGAAAGGCTTTAATTCATTTAGGTTCCAAATTTCAGTTGTTCCTCTTTGCACAAGGAAATCAACCGACCATGCAAAGAACGACAAACAGAAGAAACATTCTCACATTAAATAACTGACATTTGGAGAGCGGTCGGACCATACAATACCACGGTCATATGGGGGAGTGATAGGGAATTTATTTGCTTGAAATTATTCTTCGTTTCTACCGAGGTATCCTAACTAAAAATAGAATTAGCATGGAAATTTCGTTCAATTTTAGAGCAGATTGAATTCACGGTTTGCGTACGTTATTTTACGAGAAGAGGGAGGGGATTGAAATACGGGAAATAACCAAAGTGACCAATCACTTTCTTAACTCGTATCCTTGGAGAGATTAATGTTCCAGTGTGACTGTTAATGTTCCAGGTTAATCCTGAGCTCGAAGATGCACAGTCAGTCCTCAGATGATAGGAAATTGGGAATTGTACCCGCAGGAACTAAGGATGCATCATCAGCGGTGCAAACATTACCTTCAAACACTTCGACATCGCGTGTGACTACGAGTCAACAGAAACCACTTCCTGATTCACAACAAACAGTATTACTTGCCAGTGGTTCCGTTGCACAAGGCACTTCTCTCAGGTTACTTTATATTTATATGCAAATAAAATAAGAATTGTTATCATTGTGCTTACTCACAAGCATTGCTGTGATTCTCTCATAGGCTCTTAGGTCCACGTTGTGGTAACCCTGTCACATTATGGTATAGGTTATCCATTATGGTTATGATTATCCAGCCATTTTTTAGCTGACATAAATTTTACCATGAAGAGTTATCGTTTGAGGTTGACGACTGACGCTATATCGTGTTGCTCCCAGGTAATCTAATTTCACTACTTCACAATATGTTTGACAATATGACTTCACAATTTAGTTACCAATAGTTCAGATTTATAAGATGGTATGAATTTCAGAGATTTTGTGAATGACCTAGACAATTACGTGCCAACGATACCGGATGCTGTTACAATCCATTACATGAAAAAAAGTGGGGTGGATTGTGCAGACTCGCGAGTTATACGTTTATTCTCACTTGCAGCTCAAAAATTTACTTCAGATATTATTTTGGATGCTATGCAACAGGTATTTGTCCATGTGCAGATGACTGATAAAGAGATTGGACATCTTATTTTCAGCAGTAAAGAAAACAATTTCAAATTGTTTGATTGGCTTTTCACTATAAACGAAAACTTTTCACTTGACTTAATTTTGAAAAAAAAATAAACAACGTCTAAACGATCAACATAAATGGTGGCAAATCCGCCATTTATATTAATCGTTTAGACGTTGTTCATTTCTGAAATAATTTAGGCACGCATGAAAGGATTGGGCCAGACAAAGAAAGGTACCAAAGAAACACGTTACACGTTGACTTCAGAATTATTGGAGCCCGTGCTTGCTGAATATGGTATCGAACTGAGAAGGCCCCCCTATTTTCAGTGACTGTAACTTGGTTTTCATGTACTTTGTGTGATATTTTGATATTTGTTCCAATTTTTCAATCTATATGCGTTCATCATTTTATTGTCTTCTGTAGGGATTATGAAATCATTCTGAGCGACAAATCTTCCTGCAGTGCATATTAAATATTATCGCTTTCCTTCATCGAAAAACTCTTTTGATATAATTAGAGAAGCTTTAAATGATAATGTCTTATGTTTCAAATCCCCAAATAATTCAAACCGATGTTTTCGATATTTTACAAAAAATTTTTGATTTTTTATTGAAACTGGCATTATTTTAGTGGTATCTTTCGAAAGAATTCACATTTCAAATCTTCCACATCTATTTTGAACGTGTTTCTGAATTATTCTACTGAAGAATTCAGTAATATGAAGAAATTAAAATTTTTAACTATTGTTTCTTGCAAATAAACTTATGAATTCTATGATTCCGAATACTGTTAAACCTTAAATTTACACGGAAACAGTGATTTGCTGGGTGTTCAAGAAAGAAAGCTGCGAAAGCAATTTTCAGGGGAGCATTCATGAGAGTTAGAGTGTTTGTTTATAAATCGTCGAGAAATGTGACTCATTTGGCATGTCGGTTTTGCAATAATGAATCTGCAGTCCACGTAGTTGATCCTGAGCTGGATTTACGTTATCGCTTTGAAGACATGAAAAGACTTATGTGCATGATTGAGGCAAGGTAAATTTGAAATTGAAGCCAGATTGATATGATGTATTTTGGTAAATTATTGGAATAGGATTTTTAAAGTTGAAATTCATGGAGAATGGATTCTTTTGAAGTGGAAATTTTATCATCATATTTTTGATATTTTTGCAGTATTTTGATCATTCGTTGTAAGCTACTGTTAAGTTCGAGAACTTTGAATTTGATAGTTTAATTGGTTTTAACTTGTTTCATGAGCTTCTGTTGTAATACTGTCATTTTGTTTTGATTTATTATTTTTTCAGATATTTGATGAAAACATTTTTCATTTTAGAAGACTGAATATTGATGTTAAAAGTGTTGCTGCGAATTATCATAGATGGTGGGATGCTTATACGAAGTGGCGTGATTCTTCTATCGAGGTGTAGTTTTGTCAGTTGATTTGTGCGAAGTATGCATATTTTATTCCAAAAAATTTTCCGTTTTGTTCACAAGGATGTTTCATTAATTTCATTGAATGCGAAATGAAATAGTATCAAATTGAAAGTTAAAATTTTGCACTTCAAATGTTTGATAGTAGGTGAAATAAACAGCAATTAAATACTTTACTACCATTTATTAGGAGGAATCTTAACTTACTCTTTGAAGTTTTTCATCAAAAATAGTTTAAATTTTATCAAAAATTTTATAAAAACTGTTTCAGTCACATTCAGGAAATGTTTCACGTAGCCGTGAATTGAGACAACTTATGCTAAACGAAAGTGAAGGACTGCTGGATGCTTTGAGATTACCTAATGATTTATCAGCAAGCACTCTGTGTTCCCGCGATGTCGTTCCCTCGATTAGCAAAGTTGATAGTGAGCAAAATAACAAACACATTTTTTTTTTGCAAAAAGCGGGTATGATAAAGGTATCGTTATCAATAAATAAAACTTTTTATACTTCTAAAAATAAAATCATTTATTGAGTTTAAATACAATTGGAGGTAAATTTTTGAGACAGATTGAGAGGTTTTATATAATTTCATTAACTTAGAACATTATAATAGATACAATTTTGTTCTTTTCAGGTAGAGCCTTCAACTTCAAATGCTCATCTTGTAGGACTCCCAGCCAGTTTGCAGTATTTTCTTCAAAAGTTGTTCCGTGAAGAATTTACTGGAAATATTCTCAATGTAATAGTTGTAATTAGTTTTTCAATAAGATTCTACTATATTTCACGCAATACGGCTGCGTTTGGTTACAACGTCCTCGTTTTCTTCCGAAAGAGATTTAATATCAGCCTTCAAGCTCTTGCTCTCTCAAAGCTTATCCATTTATTTAGTATCTGTGAGTCAATTCACAACTATAGTTCTCGGCTCCTATAACCGATTACGTATATATTATTTCTTGAAGCCAACTTTTGCATAAGAGTTGATAAAATTTTTTTTTAATTTTTTAAATATAATTTCCAGGTTTCTCCACCTTATTTTGTGCGTGGTGCAATAATTGATGGAGTGAATATGTCGAAGGAGAGTTTTCCAGTATTTACCAGTGACATGCATAAAAGATCTTTGCTTTATTTAACAGGTTATTTTTAGTCATATTATTTTATGCATGATATGTTCTTTAATTTATTAGCTTTTTTATTCTCCTACGAAATATCAAAAATTGCACTTTCAAAAAATTCATATTATGTAAATGTTGGATATTTTCTTATAACTTTCTAAAATAAGAAAACATTACTTCACTTAAAAGTATGCACTTCAAATGTTTGACAGCTTATGCAATGGGTGAAATAAACAGTAGTTCAATACTTTACTAGCATTCATTAAGAGAAATCCAATATTTTATAACTTAATTTTTGGTTACTTACTATTCTCAACCAAATGGACAAAAATCTGTTATTGAGTTTATTTCCAATGCTTTTTAAACGATAAGACAAATTTTTAATTGATTTTTTTGGAGGAGATAAGGAGAAAAGTTTCCTCATTTTACTGTCACTGTGCATTGGCATTCCTTTGTAATTTAAGTCTGAATGTCTTGATGCGCTTCCTGAAACTATATTGATTCTTATGAGGTGAAATATGATAAAAAGAAGATAATTCAGACACTTAACAAGGAAATTAACTAGAAACTGTAACTTCAGGTCATAGTATTCCTTCACTGGTTGCTCTGTTCGTGAAGAAATCCTTGGTATTCAAGACGAATAGGTGGCCTTTGCGTTTGTTAAGCAGTGGAGCTTCTTATGGTATTCCAGGCAGCATGCCATTTTCCATGCTTAATTTGAACAATATTTCGCAGCGATCGAAGACAATCTTGCTCTCACTCTGTAAAACTCAAGAGGAAGAGGACACTGAATATAAATCCCTAATTAAATCGTTGGAAACAATTTTGGAAAATAGATTATCTCTGAAAACTACTTCATCGATTGTTCCTCCTCATAAATTACTAAATTTCGAATCTGCTGCAACTTGCTTGTCAACATCAACTGGAATTGAGGTGAATTTTTTTTTCGTTTTTTTAAAACAGATTCGGTATATCTGACGTCTATTCTTCAAATATGAAAATGTGAAATTTAAAATAATGTCTTGCAGACCGAAAAATTCTTTTTTTACAGTTGCGTCACATTTTGATTATTTTTGTACGAGATGCTAGGATAATTTGAATAAAAACATGTCATTCGTGATTTTCAGTTCTTCAGATTATAAGATATCGTTTCAGATTGCTAATTTCTCATACTTGAAGGATAAAAGTTGAGTATATTGAATCTGTTAATTTAATCTCTTATTTTTCGCTGTATTAATTTCTGAAGAATTTTTCTTTTTCATTCACTGTATATTTTATATAATCTATTTATCCCTTCATTGCCTTGTTCACTTCTGTTTCGATTGTTATACTGTAGAACAAATGTAAGTTGGCTTGTTAGCAGAAATGTTATATTATGTACGGTGCGGAATTTTTGCATGGCTTAGATTTTAGGAAATTTCATTTAAAGCAATTAATTTATGTCTTATAAATCAAAAATTTACCGTTAGTTGCTTCAAAGTGAGTTGCTTTAAATATACCAGTTGCTTACTAATCTTTAATAAATTCAGGTAGCTCGTATCTGTACAATTGGTTCATACATCTCCCGTCGATTATGTATTTTGCTCGATTTCAAACCAGGAAAAATTTATTTTGTGCGAATGGTTTTTGTTGACATTGATCTTACAAGGTACAATGAATTTTCCAAGGCCTTAATTTCTTCTGATAAAGTTTTTAGTTTGTCAATAGTTACACTGTAAATTTTCTTTTTTTTCAGAATCGTTGCATCAATGGTCGAGAAACATTTGATATCCAAAGAGTCTATATCAGAGAACATCCATTCATTTCTGATTCGGTCACTTACGGAGTCTCCAAATTTTCAAAAATCATGAAAAATGTGTGTGGAAATTTTAACACAAAACATATTCCATAATATATCATTGATTTACTTTGCATATTTTTCTGGCTGCATCAATCCTGTTGTTTTTTGGATGGCTTAAATTTTATGAAATTTCATTTAAAGCAATATAATAAAATATATCCTAGTTTTCTTACAAAAAAAAACGGAATTTTGAAAACTTGTTTCACCTCTAAAGTACGTTTTGAAATTTATTGTATAATTGCATAAAATTTATTTAGTTATGTCCTTTCACGCAATTAGTCACGCAATACTTAGGTTATTTGCTGCTGTTGAACGTAATCCAAGTATCTTTGCCTGGTTCTGCCTAGTTCAAGTTGGGATTTTTATTAAAAACCAAAATATTTTGTCCTTTTTACGTTATTTTTATTGTTCTGTTTCAAAAGGAATTCATGTATATTTCGTTTTTTGGTTTGATGCGAAAAAGTTTTTGTTTTTATGTGTTCCCTTATATTTCAAACCTTTTTAATTTGTATACACAAACTTTGTAAATTTGATGATATGTTGATTATTCTTCATAACAGTAGTAAGTTAAGTCGATTCTCATCATTCCGTTTCAAGACTCAGAACTGTTATATACATGTTGATTGTGCCAACAATTTTTCACAGGAATAGGAAACATATTTGAAAATGTTATCTGAATTTATTCTTGGTATATTTGAAAGACAAATAGAATTATTTCATAGGACAGAATGGATTTATGCCCCAGAAATCCATTCAAGAACGGCAGTAATAGTGTGTTGATGGATGTATTGTACTGATGCAGCGAAAAAGGGTGATGAGAGGATGCGCGAAGGTGTTTGAAGAAGTGTTTAGGCGCTCATTATGCGTTTATTTGAATTTATCGTTGCAAGGTCATTTCAAACTAAAGAAATTTTCTTCCTACTCTGTGATGCATGAAAATGGTTCGTCAAACGACATTTCAGCTGCATTTTTTGTACATCTTCTCGAGTCAGCGTTTTCTTGTAGCTTTTTTTTTTTTGTTTTCGTCTGTTTGATTCGCTTTGTTTTAACGACGTTTCTTTTTCGAAGAGGCAAATTTTTCTTTCATTCTTTTTTTAACCATTCTTGTTATATTTGCAGCTCAGACCTAATTGGACAGTAAATGGCTCACTTTGTAGAAAATTATGATCTTATTTAAAGTATGAATTGAACTAATGTAACTACTGTCATATGTTTTAATGTTAGTGATATTCAAAGCTTATTTTTATCCATCAAACTGACATTTGTATAAGTATGATATTGAACCGGCTCAAAGTGCATCGATTAGCAATTAACTTGTTTTTCTAATTCGTTTTTTTAATTTATTGTAACCGTAGTTTTTTCTTTTTCCGTATAAGCAGTCAATATGTGATTATGTTATGCCTCATGGATTGCATCATTTCTCTATGAGTAAGTAATCGGCTAGGATTGTCCATATTATATTCTTTTAACAAGCATTCATCATGCCTACCAACACCTAACTTATAATCAGGCCAATTCTTTCTCAAATCAGCTCATTGGCGTATTTATTGTAGAGTAAGAGTAAGGGATAAAAGAAATTCTTATACTTTTATTTGCTACTGTTCCAAAGTAGTTATGCTTCCTAGTCAGCATTGCTTTGCAGTTGATGACAGTTTGTTCCGTTGTTTTTTTCTTGTTTAAAAAAAAGCGACATCTCAAGAACCAGTCCTGTTGCATTGTTGTTTGGAGTTAAAGCAGTGAGTGGCAAAACTGTTGAAAATGTAATAAATTGGTAGCAATCTGAAGATGACCTATTTGCATGTTTCTTCTGGAGCTCTTCTTTATTGCTCCTACGTTTCCTTCATTCAATTTTATTTTTTTTTTTTCGTTTTTAAAAATATTATGTGGGTTTCATTGTTTCTGCAAGTATAACATGCTGTTGACTACTTCCTTTTCAAAAAAAATTTTTGAATATTTAGTTACTGAATTTTTGAAATTTAGGACTTTAGTTATAATAAATCGGACACGAACAAAAGATAGAATACCGAATTGTATGAAATATATTGGTATGCTCAAATCCATTAGGTTGGTGATGCGTTAATATATTGTGGTTAGATCGCAATAATCAGAATAGAAAGGGATAAGGGAAGGCAATAAGAATGTGTGTGTCAAATTCGGGCAAAGGTCACACGGAACTCTCAGAGAAATATGAAAACTTTCTGTCCGTTACATGAAATAGACGCTAACCTTATTTAATTTTCAGAAAACATCGAAGTTATTCATATCCTTATATATCGTTCTAAATGTAATTTGAAGAAAATTTGGCTTTTAGCGCATTAAGGGAATTAAATTCATTATATTTAGCCTTAATGGCGCGCCAGAAATATTTTATCACCAATTCGTTAGTCTTGACCAGACAAAGCTTAGTGGATAGATGAGAGGTGTGAAATGAAGATGACCACTCAATCATGTTATGCAAGCGATCAATCAGAATCCGTTATTTACATAATTACACATTAATTTAACTCTTCAAAATATTAAATTGACATTTTCGTTTTCTCTGAAAAATGACATTCAATACAGATACTTTACATTTATTTTGATTTTTTAAATATAATATGCATACAAATATCAGTGATAGATGAAAGAAGGCAGACAGATGAGCGAGAGAGAGAGAGAGAGAGAAAGAGAGAAATGTATGGAATAAAGATTGTATTAATAAGATTCCGTAATGATCATTTTGGACCAATTTGCGCTTTGTTTTATAGATTTCATTCATTCATAAGCTAATCTTTTCTTCAAAATTTTACGCATCTTCTTTAAATAATTTTCGAATTATTGAAAATACAATTTAACTGAAATAATTATTTGGCTTGTAAATTTTTAACAAATTAATTTTTTACGATAAATCTTCCCATTGGAAAATCTGCATTGCAGAGTTCTTGACAATTTTTGTATGTATTTTTAAATAATAAATTTTTAATTGCAGTTTACAAATTCAATCATCTACAGCTGTTTTGCGACTATGGCAGAGAAATTTTATGTAAGATTGATGTACTCCGGAATGTGTGAGTAATTCAAACTAAATGAAATATATGGAGTTCTTTAAAAAAGTTGAATTTGCTGTTTTGTATTGTAGTAATCAAGAAATTTGATAGAAGTCAAAGAATGGATTTAATTAATACGTTTTAAAAATATGAATTTAATGGTAGGAAATTTCGGTTTTAAAGATTGGAGATGGAAGGCAAAAACAATGCGGTTGAATTTGCTTTTGAAGCTTGGCTTCATTTTTATCGGATCAGAAAATGATTACGACTTTGAACTTCGATAAAAATCCATAAAAAATAGCGCAGTCTAGAAATGTCCCTTAGAAATATTAAAATTTCCTTACTCTCTCTTTGCTTTTTTTTAGATATAACATCTAAAATGATAAAATTCCCGAGCGACAATCTTCTTTTAAAATAAAAAAGAAAGAATGGCACAGGGTATAAAAAAAGCATTTGAACTGGAAGCTAATTGGTTATTTCAATATCCACCAAATATAAATTAAAATATTCTTTGTCTAATATTTACTCCGGAAAGGCTGATATTATTTCTTACAATATATAGACTTTATATAACGATATTTTATTTAAATTCAGGAAGATATCAGATAGTGATAAATAGTGAGATGACCATTTGCTGATCATTAACTTCATTATATATAATTTTATTTTCCTTTCTTTTTTTTAATAGTTGTCTTTTTAAATTTGATAAAAAAAAAACAGTTGCAGCAGCTGAAATAAATGAGAAAAATATAGATAATGCTGTTTTGATTGGTGCGGAATGCAGTTTGATATCTTCTCCATCGTCTTTCGTTCCCATTCTGAAAAGACATTTATGATTTCGTGTGCTGATTCGTCTTTTTATTTACATGCCTTACAATCGGGTATTTTAAAACATTTTTCTATTTATTTTTCCCCCTCTTCCAATCGTTTGATTATAATGATTCGACGGGTACAGATAGAAGTGAATATCAGATCACAAAATTCTCGTCGATTAGAATGTTCATCTAATAGATGTGATACGTTTTGTCCCGTGTATGTGTGGTATGTATACATGTGTGTATGTTTGTGTGTATGTGTGTGTGTGTGTGTGTGTGTGTGTGTGTGTGTGTGTGTGTGTGTGTGTGTGTGTGTGTTTCATTGGGAACATTCTTTAAAATATTATTGCTATATTGTTTCGGATAATTTCCGCCTTTCACGGCTCAAACTTCCCACTTATTTTTTCAAAAAATTCTCGTCTCATTTCAATTTCATTAGTGACCATTTAAATCTTTTGAAACACTTTACTCATTTCACATGCCGTATAGCCAACTATAATTTTTTTTCCCTCATGAATTATTTTTGTTGAAATTTTACTATTTACGATAGCTATGTTGTTGTGCTTTGCCAAAATTCAGTCTGATGTTTTGAATGTTATCGTGTATAAAGCTGATATTATATGGATAGCAGAATCAGTACATACAAGATTGTTAAGCTTACTTTTATCATATTACATTTTGAAGAACATTTAACAAGGTAACAAGGTTGACCTTGAACTGATATTAGGTATCAAGTAATGCTACAGTATGTGGATTGATGGGCAACTCGCCTTTGGGTTCTTACCGCCCGCAATCAGTGTTGATGTTGACGGTGCGGTGAATTGATAAGTTCGCCATGTCCTGACAAGGTGGTTACATCATACCTGTCGCTTCTTATCCTCCTTCCATTGAATAACTTGTCATAATTTTAGCATACGTTTGTGAAAAATTATATGAACCATTTCAAGTATAAATTGAATAAGCTTTTGACCTCAATAAACATTTATGATGAGAAATACTGCTGAAATAGCCATAGGTAGTGTGATAATAATCTTTCTTTATATGAGAATTAACTTTTAAGTTGGCAATGTGCACAAAGCATATGTTCAGTATGTTTGTGTACCGCAACGTTCTATGAATTGTATGAAATTATGAGACACACATAGCTCGCGCAGAATGTATTTCCGCTC